TACTGACTCAACAAGTGAGGATATGTATTAGTTGACCTGAAGTACAATGAGTCTGTTGTCTAGTTGCTCTTTACTGACTCAACAAGTGAGGATATGTATTAGTTGACCTGAAGTACAATGAGTCTGTTGCCTAGTTGTTCTTTACTGACTCAACAAGTGAGGATATGTATTAGTTGACCTGAAGTACAATGAGTCTGTTGCCTAGTTGTTCTTTACTGACTCAACAAGTAAGGATATGTATTAGTTACCCTGAAGTACAATAAGTCTGTTGCCTAGTTGCTCTTTACTGGCTCAACAAGTCAGGATGGATAGTGTAGCAGATTAGTTTAGGTCATTAGTATTAGTGATCTAGTAGTTTTCATAAAGAGAAATTTTAATTTTCCTATACTGAAAATATATTTCCAATAGGTACTAACCTCCACATAAATAGCTATTCTAGTTCAATGCTGCCTTCTATATGCAAAAACATTTGTTTGCATGCCACAAGCCTTGAGCTTCCATGTACTTTACAACTGACTCATTCAAATGCGTCTCGCACGCAAATCATCATGCACCAACTCTTCAAAAATAAGAGTGCGACATACTCTCCTGATACACGACTCCTTCTATTCAATTCTACTGAACTATCACTTCAAGTTTTGGCAGGACTGGTTTTCAGTGGGGAGGAAATGTGAGAGGAGGTAAGTGCCAATCAGAAACATATTTTCAGTAGAGGAAAATCATAACTTCTGATGTGGTACATTACCTCCGCTCACATAAATAGCTAGAATCCCACATTGAATAGGAGGAGGGACTGGTGTGAGGGAAAGAAAGAACACCCTAAAAAGAGTAGATCATAGCAGTAGAAGATCATATGTGGAAGACTGCACCACTTCTGTACCAGGTATACTCTTTGGCCAGTGCAGAAATTGGGAGGAACACACACAAAAGGGAGAGAACAATGGTTGGATAAGGATCTAAACCACACAATATTGGAATTTCAATCTCTTAGAGTACATCAATGTGGGTGAAGAGTAAAAGGATGTGTTTTAGGTGTAGAGTGGCTAGGACATGACAAACCATACATGGCAAGTCAACTGCATCCAAAACCCAGGCTTCCAGGAACCAAAAGCTACAGGGGGTAGGATGAGGATCATTATTGTCGGTAAGTCAACTATAATCCAAAACCCAGCCATCTGGTGAGAGAAAGAAAGAGGATTGTATCGTCTTCACCTCAAGTTCATCAGACCCTCAATCCATGAAAGGCATGATAGCAATGTGAGAAATTGATTAACTGATCCGGGAACCAACTTCCTGTATTGTAAAGATGTCTTTGTAATGTAAATCATCTTGCTCAAACTGACAGGAACTGTCCCTATTGCAATAACATCCCCCGAATAATGAAATCATTGAGGGATAGCATAAGAGGAAGAATCGTATTAATCTGCAAGTACCTCCATCGTGACACACAACATGGATGAAGCATAATTGAGTGAGGAAATAGAGACACCTGTAATATATGTGTGTGAGGACTTATGTTGATTGTTTCAACTCTAAATCCAAAATCTAGCCACTGGAAACCAACATCCACATAGGGGTAGGAAGAGGGATCCCAATCTAAGAGGTGAACTGCAATTTTGACGGCTCACTCCAAAGGAGGACGTCTCATCTTCTACACCAGCAGAACACCACTGCCATAATCTCAATTGAATGGTTTTATCATTATCACATTCAGGAGGATGCCTTTATGGTCCACCACCCCACTTTGGAACTGGAATGTGGTAAAGACTCCCACACTCCACTGGAAGTAATGGGGAGTGGGATATTGTTGTAGAGAGTCTGGAGAAATGACAATACCTGAAACAATGAAAAAGGTGACCATGAAAACCCTATTTTGAAACGCAGACCACACCTGATGTATTCAATCTAAGGTATGGCAGGGATGGGCAGCTATCCCCTTCTGTTTTACTCATGAAGTCCATGGGTGAGTATGATCCTGGCATATTAATGAAGCAAATATCTCATGAGGATAAACCTACAAGCGATTTTGTGGAACATGCCATCTCAGCAGTGTACATTTAGTGTCCATGAAAATTATAACTGTTAAGTCATCTTGGCCTTACAGTGTGGATTTGACTATTTTAAGTATACCTGGTCAGGCACCACTTGAGCACGAAAACAGCAGTTCAAATGGAGACAAAGTGAGGCAATGAAGAACCACATTAACATCCCAATCTGGAAGGACAGCATGCAGAGGTGGATGACTAATCTGAAAGGAATGCAACAAGAGGGAAAGGGTAGGAGAAGTAAAAACTTTACAAGTAACCAAGGAAAAATAGAAAAGTGTAGGGATAAGGCAGACCCAATAACCCAAGATCGAGGAGACAGAA